TTATTACAGTATTATTGATTATATCCCTGATGCTGTACGTTACATACCTGTGACCTATTTGTTTTATAACTGGAAGTTTGTACTTGTTAATCCCTTTAACGTATTTCCTCCTCCTTCCCCCAAACTACTAGTTTGTATGTATGAGTCTGTTTCTGTTTTGTTTGCTCATTTATTCTGTTTTCTAGATTCCATATATAAATGAAATCATAAAATAGTTGTCTTTGTCTGACTTCACTCAGCATAATACCCTCCAGGTCCATCCATGTCATTGCAGATAGCAAGATCTCATTCTTTTTTATGACTCAGTTCCACCAGTCTGTCGATGGACACTTAGGTTGCTTCCGTATCTTGGCTGTTGTTAATAATGCCGGAATGAACATAGAGATGCATGTATCTTTTTGAATTAGTGTTTTCATTTTCTTCAGATAAGTATTCAGAAATGAGATGGCTGGATCATATGGTAGTTCTATTCTTAATTTTTTGAGGAACTGCCATACTGTTTTCCATAGTGGCTGCACCAATTTAACATTCCCACCAACAGTGCACAAAAGTTCACTTTTCTCCATATTCTCATCAACGCTATTTTTTGCTGTCCATTTGATAATGCCATTTTGACAGATATGAGGTGAAATCGTATTATGGTTTTGGTTTGCATTTCCCTGCTGATTTTGAGCATTCTTTTCATTTGTCTTTTGGCTGTCTGTGTATCTTCCTTGGAAAATTGTGTATTCAGTTTCTCTACCCATTTTTTCATTGGATTGTTCATTTTATATTGAGTTGGATGAGTTCTCTCTAGATTTTGGATATTAACCCTTTATCAGGTATATCACTTGCAAATAGCTTCTCTCTTGCCTTTTCATTTTTTTGATGGCTTCCTTGGCTGTGCAAAAGCTTTTTAGTTGATGTAGCCCCATTTGCTTATTTTTACTTTTGTTGCCCTTACCTGAGGAGACAGATACCCCAAAATATTGCTAAGACTGATGTCAAAGAGCAACTGCCTTTGTTTTCTTTTAGGAGTTTCACGGTTTCAGGTCTTACATTTAAGTCTTTAATCCATTTTGAGTTTACTTATACTTATTATGGTATAGAAAAGTGGTCCAGTTTCATTCTTTCGCATGGAGCTTTGCAGTTTTCCCAACACCATCTACTGAAGAGACTATCTTTTCCCCCATTTTATATTGTCTCCCTTTTTTGTAAATTAATGGACCGTATAACCGTGAGTTTGTTTCTGGGCTCTCTGTTCTGCACCATCAATCTACTGATCCATGCTGGTACCACACTATTTTGATTACTATAACTTTATAGCATAGTTTGAAACCAGGGAGCATGATACTTTACAGCTTTTTTCTTCTTTCTCAGATTTCTTTGGCTATTCAAGTACTTTTGTGACTCCGTACAAATTTTAGGATTATTTGTTTCAGTCTGTGAAGAATGCCATTGGTATTTTGATAGGGTTTGCATTAAATATGTAGATTGCTTTGGGTAGCGTGGACATTTTACCAATGTTAATTCTTCCAGTCCGTGAACACAGTGTGTCTTTCCACTTATTTGGGCTGTCTTCAGTTTGTTTCATCGCTGTCTTACAGTTTTCAAAGTGCACGTCTTTCACCTCCTTGGTTAAATTTATTCCTGGGTATTTATTCTTTTTGAAGTTATTGTAAGTGGAATTGTTTTCTTAATTTCTCTGATAGTTTGTTATTAGTGTATAGAAACACAACGGATTTCTGTAGGTTGATTTTGTATCCTGAAGCTTTAATTAATTCATTTATTATTTCTAATAGTTTTTTGGGGGAGTCTTTGTTTATATAGTATCATGTCATCTGCAAACAGTGATAGTTTTACCTCTCCCTTTTCAATCTGGGTGCCATTCATTTCTTTTTCTTGTCTGATTGCTCTGGCTAGGACTGTGTTGAACAAAAGTGGTGAGATTGTCTTGTTCTTGATCTTAGAGGAAAAGCTGTGGGTTTTTCACCATTGTATATGATATAAGCTGTGGGTTTGTCTTATATGGCCTCTGTTATATTGAGGTATGTTCCCTCTATATCCACTTTGTGGAGAGTTTTTATCATAAATGGATGTTGAATTTTCTCAAATG